GAGAGGATTCAGCCCACTCTGAGATAAGGGCTTGGCGTTGCCCATATTCATAGAAAAAAATTTTCTAGGAAATTTACTTGAATGATTTGGATCTATGACAGTGAAAAACACTTAGAAAAGTTGCAAGTTGAAAAGGTCACTTGGCACTACCGGATAACTAATGTGCCGAGCAGAATTTATTGAAATTTCATGATTTTCGCAATCGATTCTCACAAAAGCACTTACGCGAGAAAGCAGTGTCCCTAAGGCTAGAGAATTTCCGCAGAAATTTCCCGAAACGTCTGCCGTTTATGAGTTTTGAAGGGAATCCAGAACTGTACGTAAGCTGTTGCGTTTCAAGTTAGAAACTCTATAAATCGAAATTATAGTATTTCATCGGCCATCTGAAAATTAGCAAAAAAGATAATGTACCAAAACTCGAATTCTTAAATTTGATTTATTAATGATATTGTAACAATCCCGAGAATCTGAAAAAAATGGCAAGTTTGAATGTATGAAAATTCAGATAATATTAGAAAAAACAGTAACTAATTTGATGCGGTGAGAATTTTACGGTTTCAGTTTATCAACAAGCATGGGCTGGAGGCTACTAGCAACGTTTGCCCTGGATTTTAATGCGAGTGAAAATCCATATGAAACTCTTAAAGTTGCCCGAATGTGCGTGAGATGGAAGCACCCTTGGATTCGACCGGCTTGGCGGCTGGAAGGCGGGGCTTCGTGACCTAATTAAGGCCGCTCGCGCCCGCGACGCAATCTGCGTCTCTCCCGCGCGCGTGCTTCTGATCATTACCCAGCCTTAATTAGGTCACGAAGCACCGCCTTCCAGCCCCCAAGCCAGTTAAGTCAAAGAGTAGTTTATAACCTAATCCTTTGAAACGCTTCATTTAAGCTTTCCTTAAACAAAAACAACAAAACAGGCGACTCCCTTTTTTGCTTTTCTTTCGGCTTGACAGAATTTTTAAAGGCCACTTTTGAGCCATTAGCGAAATCATTCAAAGTGCCAAAATAACATACTGGCTGCAGAGCAAGTTTCTATTTCGTATTCCTCCATAGACTTCACCCAATTCGTGTCCCAAAAGCGCAAAGAACGTCAACTTTCTCCATCATTTTAGAGTCACATTTTCCCCTAGAGATAATTGATGAGTGAAAGACGGAAATTCAAGCGTGAAATGGCATAGAATCAATAGGACGAGTTCTGTCCACATTTTCCATGGCTAATCACCATTTCATGGAACAAGCCCCACTTTCAATGGCGTTTCACATTTTCCCCTCTAAATGATCCAATTAAATGCACAATTTCTCATCGCTTTTCCCATGAATTTGTTCTTGCTTTCGCCCGGACATCCATCCAACTGGGATGGGTAGATGAGTCACAAAAGAGCGATTACTCGTCTCTTTTGAACTAGAAGAAGTGGTTTTGTTCTAGTGCAATTAATCATTTATGACGCCTTATCTGGAAAGTGCTGCGTTTTTCGCATCTATCATATGCCAGCATTGGGCCTGGTCAACACAAAACTTGCACGCTTTTCAAGACTAGACAAAAACTCCCAAATTCCCATTTCTGTCTCCTCAAATAGATATAAGACGCAGAAAACGCTCGTTTTTAGTGGAGCCACGCTAAAACTATACTTTTGCGGTAATTCGAAAGAAGATCGCGGAGATCGAACCGCTACTCTACGCTTAGGGTGTGCCGGAGCTGTGCCAGCTCCGTGCCAAAATCCACATGCGCGCGCCTCGTATTGATCGCAAGCGCTGGCATGGTACTAGAACGGCGCTAGCTCCGGTGGACAACTGTGAGCGTATCTTAGACTTCGCCCTCTTATGCGAACGAACGTCCGCTACAAAATGTTATGCGTAAAATTTCAGGATTTGTGTCAGATGTCCACGCGGAGTCCACTTTATGTTAATGCTTTTCCATAAAGGGAATCGGGGCAGTGCAGAATGTTCTTATCGCTGATAATGCTAAATGATGCAATGCCTCATGTGATTCTTTTCCTTCAAAAGTGGAGGAGAGCCATTAAAAGCGCAATTATGATTTGCAAGGAATGAGTAATAGAAGAACATCAAAAAAAGAGACAATTGTATTGAAAAAATCTTCGTAGGCATTTCTTATAAATTTTTCAAATATAAAAATATTGAAAATATTGAAAATGTATAATTTGATCAGTCCAACACGTCATGAAAAAAAGCTCTTAGGTGAAGTACTAATGATGGTATCACTGATCTATGTTGTGCATTTGCAGAATATAGTATCCTGCATTCCGCGTTTTTTTCACGCGTTCGCATTTAAAACAGCATTTGCGCGTAAAGAAATACCATGCTTGTGAATTTTGCCGACTTTCCTGTGACTTGCGCTTGATAAACGGCCTTATAGCGCGCACTACTATTGTTTACGCGCAAATGTCGTCGGCAATGCAGAAGTACTAGTTTGCTTTCTGCTAGTCTTTATGGTAGTAAGCAAAATGAAGGGAAATTGCTTTCAATGGTCCTCCTCCTTAGTTGATATCAGGATGTGCAAAAAAAAGCTCGGCACATCTCTTTTTTCAACGGAAAATTTTCTTAAACCAAAAAGGTCAAATTCACGTTATATCGGATTCTCTTTTTCGGAATTTGGCGAAGATTGAATTTACTGAACATTGTACACAATGAAACGAATGTCTGTTCGGAAAGCAAGAAAATGAAAGATCAAACTTGTGCTGGAATTTTTTCCAGATCTAGTCATTTGGATTTTCTGCTAGTCTCAAACGCTTACAACCTTAAGAAAAACAAGTGTCAACAAAGAACTCGTCCGTTAATTGACTCATTCATCTAACAAATTACTCATCATTAGCATTCAATCTGCATTAGTTATATTCTGATGCCCAGAATTCAACGGTTAATTGCATTCCCGTTATTTTTCCCCCGCGTTGAACTTTCCATGGACTCTCTCTAACAAGTGGACGTTTTCTCCAAATCTCTCAACTACTTTGCGGAAAACCTTGAACAGGGCAAATTCCTGTCCTCCTGCGATTGCGTCGACCTTTTCCTCTGTGAACACGACGACCTCATCGTTCTCAGCCTCGAAGCATAATTATACGTTTAGAAACTTTTTGAAAAGACATGAAACTAGGCAAAAACCGATAAACTAGGGCTAGATTGGATCTAGATTCGTATAGTGAGCAGTTTTTCTGCAATCACACAACTCGTACGAATAAAAACACGCATTGTGTGCGGGATAATACTCCTTTGTAATGTAAAAGTATAAATTGTGAAGGGAGATTGTAAAGTGAGTAGAGTGAGTTCTTCTGGTTGCGTAAGTAATGGCTAAGATGGAATTATATATGAAAATTGTACTAGAAGAGAGTGGAAACTATTTTTTTGCCTACCTCCCCCCCCCCCCCGGATCTTATTTCGAAGTTCTGTTTCATCTGTACACCTACAATCGTATAGCAGAGTACTACAAAATTCCGACCCAGAATTTGATACTTTTGAGATTCGGTGTTTAAAATAATTTTTAAATCAATCAAACAACTAAAGATTTTCTTTTCTGATTATATTAAATGCTGAATCCAGCCTCTTCAACTTATTTTGTTATTAACCTACTATGGCTCAGAAATATTTTTTTTATTTTTTATGGTTTTGCTACATAAACTGTTTACGCTTAGCTGCATTTTTTCGTTTACCCTACTTTTCTCCTTTCTCCGCTTCTGCGAGGTGCGAATTTTCGAATTTTTCAAAGTTTCAAACCGAGACTGATTTTTCGCGCACATCCACAAGACCAAGTTAGGGCTAGCCAGATTAGAAGAATTCAGAAGATAAGTAAATCTTTGAATAACCTTTTTGGTTAGAAATGAGATGAGTTTACAATTTGAAAATTTCTATGAAAACCCCCCTTCAAAATGTCTATTTCTAATCTAGCAGTGATGTTCAGTGCTTTATGGTGTTGGCCTCAGCGAGCTATGTCGGTGCTTGATTATTCCATTGGATTCGCAGGGGAGAGGGGGGGGGGAGGAGGAGTTGAAGGACCGGGGCCCCAAGAGTGATTGTAATCTTTCTGTTTTTAACGGAATTGTGAAGCATTCGAAATTACCATTTTTGGATGGTAGATGCGATAAGTAGCAAAGGATGTAGGGAGCGGTGTATTGTTTATCGAAGTAGGGACCAAATTATTTTAACGCCTAGAGAAATGCGTGAAATTTCTGTTAAATAAAACTCTAGCTCACAAATTAGATTCGCTATTGTTGCAATTGCGAAATCTCTTAGAATCAATCTGTGATCATCTATTGATGCTCAAAATACGAAAAAATTTAGGAAGCCCTATCACCAGAATGAAATATTCGAAGAATTGGTGTAAAATGGTAACGATATAGCTGCTATAAACATATTCACTTTAAAAAAGTTAATGTTAAGGGCTAAGTTGGCTAGATCATGGCCATGTTCGCAAGATAGCTCCGCCCATTACCACGCCCACTTTTAGGTTCTCACTAATTACGAATATTTTTGCACTGCTCGACTAATGTTTCTGAATCAATTAATCTTACTGTCATTCAGCTCTCCTTGATATAGATTGGAGTGGAAATCTCCAAATAAGTTATTTCCAGATCTTTTGAGAAAAAGAGTGAGCTTTTTTGTTTGTTAAATCCAGCTCTATAGTGTTTAAACTGGATTCTGTATTGACTGTGTATTGCTATATCTAACCCATTGTCTCGCTATACCACAAGCTTCGGTCCATGTATGGTTATAAATTACGAACCAAACAAAAGTCGGTAAACACATGCGCGGCCGGGGAGTGTTGTGTTCTACGTCGCTAGGCGACAATGCTAAACACATCCCATTGTCGTCTACGAGATCGGTGGATTCCGACAACTCGTCCAGTCGTCCGATGTCGCAGTTAGAAGTAGAAAAGTACTTCTCCCACTAATTACAGCCGTAACAGATACTTCGCCATGGCCCTATGAGGGCAACGCCGCACGCGGCCGTTTTTGGTCGCGTTCGCGGCAGGAGTCGGCTCCGCCCCCGTCGCGGTACCTCTTGTCGCGGCCACGGGGGTGTTCGTGTTCGCTTGTCACGCGTTGCCAGGTAGTGTCCGAATCGTCTGGGATATTCTAAACATTCTCGCCTTGTTTGCCTCACGCGGCGGCAAAGTCGAACCTGTGCAACTCGTCCAGAGAAGATCTTCCATTTTTCTGTCGCTTGGAAAAAACTCGACGAAGAAATTCTTCTACTGCTAAATTTCCTACGTACAATATTGACGAACAATGACTTCTGCTATGGATTATATTCGTCAAGCATGGAAATGGCTAAAAGTTCGTGTATTATGGCTAATCGACTTCATTTCTGGAGAGGAACGCGTTTGTGAAAAAGATTTGGAAGGTATTTTTACTGCTTCTTATTTTTCTGGAACATCTGCTGCTTATCGTTCTGTTTTTTTCGTCTTTGTTTGTTTTGAATCATCTGCTATTCTGCCACTTCGTAATGATTCATAGTAGAAAGTTGGACGAGTTTTTGAAAGAAATTCTAAAAATGAGAAGCTTTCAGCTAAAATATGAGTTTTCTATGTGATAATATTGGTTGGAGGGCAGTTACAGTATTACTACCGTATCTTGCTGAATAGCAAGTCTTCACGCATCATTAATTTTCTTTTTGAAAGCTCCATTTCCATGTATAACAGCCATATTCAAATGGAGCTCGTTTGCAACCTCTACAGCAGTGCCTAATTTGACCTACCCTCACTACGAATTCAAAAGCACTTACAGTACCATTACCGTATACTACTGTATTAGATTCTGTTCACTTACCCCATCAATCAATTTTATGAAGCACAAAATCTCCAGGAATTTTTCGTCTTGGTGTCAAACCATAATCCCATCTGCTACAGTATGCGCTCCGACACTTTTTGATCTACCCTTACAGTTACAGTATCCCTTCTTTTCACTAAAATTTCCCATACAAGATTTTTTTCGTATTTTTGGGCAGATTTCGCGCACAAAGTGTTCGAGGTCACACGACCGCTAATCCTATGATATCAGTAACACTTCCCTTCCCCTCCCCCCCCCCCTTCAAGTTTTTCTTGTGACTCACTGTGATTCCTACAAATTTTGATCCACCCTAGCAGTTACAGTAACCCCCCCCCCCTCCATTCCCCTCTACGCCATTTTTTGCAGTTTTTTGTGCAGATTTCATGCAAAATCCGTTCGGGGTCACAACCACTAATCCTATCATGTCAATACCATCCCCACCCGGTTCTCTTCTCCCCCCCCCCCCCTACTCCTCGTGACTCACTATACTTCAATCTACAAACCGGCTTTATATGCAGAGAGTATCTCTTACCATATGGGGACGGGGCTGGGCTGTACCATGAGTGGTTCACGTTCGACTATTCAAATCTATTCCAGCCCATGCTCGCGCATAGTTGCGAAAACTGGAAACGAGAAAAATTCTTTTGAACTTTTTCCTTCGCTAGGAATAGAAATAGCTTCAAAATTCCAGTTCTTGGACGTTTTCCTCGAGCCATAGAGAGCTTTGCAGAGGTACAATTTCGAAATTCTCAGGTGGAAACACCTAGCAATTTCATCACCTTGAAATTTTCATGCATGCGAAATTATCGGACGATTTTATCGAATTCTTTTGAGCTCGTTCTTTTCCATCGGCACATAATGCGCCTCGTTTGCATTTTATGAGGACTCTGAACTAGTTTCATATACATCACACTCCATTAAATATCGATTTACGAGCTTAGAAAATGATTGACGCAAGAGTGGAACATCAGAGGGAAAGAAATAAAACTTGTTGAGTTTTTCATGATGTTTACGAAGGTTTCGGAAAATATTGTATTCGCAGAACCGTGAGTAATGAGTGGCCATGTTTTTAAAAAATATTTGAAAATCGAAACTTTATTGTGTTGAATTTATGATATTCCATCAGTGCGCGAATAAATTTAGTTGCGTGACTAGGTCTTTCCCGAAGGGAGAGGAGGTTTGGGGGGGGGGGGGGTAGAGGGGTAGGTAGTAGGAATGCTAATTATGTTAGTGAAAACATAATTTGAAAATTATGTGGATCTTGCGCTCTAAATGTTCTGACTTCGCAGGTTACTCGAAACGGAATTCTAAATTTGATAAAGTTACATGGGAAATCTTTTTGATTTTACTGCTTTGGGTAAAAAAGTTTTCCTGGTTTTTCGCCATTTACACATATTTTGGTTGACTCATTTAGAAGTAATCACATTCATTTAGCTTCTTCCTTTATCATACAACCTGAAAACCTGTGGTAGTTTGTACTTGAATGTTCACATGTATTTATCCAAAAACGAAAGCAGAAGGAAATAATAAAGTAAGTGTAAACAAGAAAACAAAAAATCGTTAAATGTTAGAATCCATATCTATAAAATCTTAGCCGTATTATACATTAATTTATCATGTATATTAAATCTTAATGCATCAAATAGGAGAGTAATTAATTTGAATAATTTTGTCCCTAAAAATTTTGTGCACCCTCCTTCTAGCGCTTCGCACCTCGTGCTCTGTTCCAAAGCTTAGTCTTAGCGCTCGACTGTACAAATATTCCCTTCTTTGCACGGCGAATGCTCCTGTGCCTGTAAAGGCGATTATGGGCTTTTGGGATCTATTTCCATCAGAACTGATATGCAGTATAGTCGCTCCATAATTATCTGTCCCTGCTTTTAATTTATCTGAGTACTGGAACATGCTGGAAATAGCAGCTCGGCTGATGATCCAGATGATTCATTTAAGCTTGTAACTTTAGCAGCTATAGCTGATAACCAGTGGCGGTTGCAGGATTTCCTTCCGTTGGGGAGGGGGGGGGATGCGGCAAAAATTACCTCAAATGAAGGTGCCTAGCATTAGCCACGCACTCCGAAAAAAATTCTTGGGGTTTCAAAATTTTTACGGGCCCATAAACTCTAAAATCTAGAAAAAGGGGGCGTTGCGGCAGGCATGCCCTCGAAAACTTTTTCACAAGGCTAATTTGGGTTTTTAAAAAGTTTTAAAATTATTTTAGTTGCTTACAAGAATAAACAAGTCACTTGCACATTTTTATAACCCATTAAGTAAATTTCAAAAATTTCGCGACTCATTCTCGGGGGAGGGAGGGGGGGGGCCTTTTTCGCCACTGCTGGTAACTGATCTCTCTCCCACCCCCCCCCCCCTCCTCCCGAATAAGTCACAGAATTCAATTTCAGTGTTTAACACGAGTGATAAAAACATGCAACTATTTTGCAACTACTACTAAACGGCCAAAATAAATCCAGATTTTCCCCCCCCCCCCCTCCCGCCAACCATCCCATAAGGTGATATATAAATATATAAGAATTGTAAACGATATCTTTTTCAACTTTGCTTTTTTATGTCGAAAAAAAATATTTTACATTATTTTTTCAAGATATTTGTTCGATTGACTATTGGAAATGTTGATAAAAGGCTGATCATTTGTTGGTTACTATTCAACACCTTAATTTTTCCAAAATTAGCAAAAATTACTTTTATAATTCACAGCAGGTTTTCAGGTTGTCTCTCAGGCATTCTAAATAATTTAATAGATGAGTTATCTAGTTGTGCTCATCATGGTATCATTGCGATAGCAGGAATGAAATTTTTCTTAGATGAAACTGAGAAAAATCTATTTTTTCAGTTTTTTCAAAAATTTCCCTTTTGCCCTTGGAGACGCTCGAAAGTCCTTACATAATCTTCTTTTATTCCTAGTAGTAACCAGAAAAAACTTGTTCGCAGACTCCAAGTTCAAACTCCTTCCAACTTGGCCTAAGACAACCTTGGCCGCGTTTTCCGGGGATTAGCATTCATGGGATTTTCGCAGATGTTTTTCGGCTTTGCGATGACCTTTAGCAGCTATCTCAAAGAATTCTATAAATCAGAACTGTCAGAATTGAACTGCCATCCAGCAGATCTTAGATTTATTGAAGATTACACGACTGTCTTTTTGAGTTTTGTCATCCTCTCGCACTAATTCGCTGAATGTTTGGTATGTTATATTTGGTATGTTTGTAATTTCAAAGTTTGCCGAATTATTAGCAACACACGTAATTGATTATCTTACTATCTGAATCATTAAGTTTCAAAGTACAAATTGTGACATTAGTCATGTTCCAAAGTGAGGCATTTTCAAATTGATGGACGAATATTTTCTGAACCTGAGGACGAAAAAACTGATTTTCTACTCATCTCTTGATTTTGTCCCAATATTTCTGTACAAATAGCATTTGCAAATCAATTTGCACTTCTCGTATGTGCGCTTCAAATTTTCAAATAATCGTAGGTTATCGGAAACTATAATTTTTGAGGTAAAAATCAAGATGCACCTCTGTCAAATTTTTCTAGTATTCATCTTCGTAAGGAAAGTATAAACCACTATGTATTTTTGCAATCTCTTGTCTTCCTGAAAACAACACAAAGGCAGCTGAGTAAGAATTCTGGCGAGGGATTTACTCCCCAAGTAAAAGCAAAAGAAACATTACCCTTCCCCTCCCCCCCCCCCCCCCGTCGTTTGCAAATACGTCGCAAAGTTATGTTACCTCTGTTAGTCATTAAAGTGTGCAAATATTTTTTTTCATTTTCGAATGAGTAGAGGACAATATGTCGCTGATAAGCTCCTCCCGCGGGGACAACTGGCACGAGTTACTGCTGTAGACATACATGATTTGTTGCAAATATTCGCGCGAAATGATCCTTCGCCCTTCCCCTCCCTTTGGCGAGATGATGATTACATTGTACGAATTTTTGAATAATCCAGCCTTGTGGGATCTTTTTCACCGAATTATGGAGATTGCGAGCTTGCAATAAATGAGGGTCAAAAGAATTCGGTGGGCGTGGCTAATGCTGCTCTCCGTCATACGTAAAAAAATTTCCGCAGCCCGCCTGTCGAAAAAATTCATGGTAGCCTTGAGCTTCCTTGACTCAGCCTTCTCAAATGTATAGCATATATCGATGGCTACGTCACTTTCAGTCTCGCACAAAATCTTCCCCTTCCCCTACTCGTTCTCCCCCCCCCCTTCCCCTACTCGTTCTCCCCCCCCCCTTCCCAACCTCGCAAAAAAAAGCGCATCTCATCTACTGTTAGACTGTCTTCAACTGAATGGCGCTGAATGAATCCTTTCATCAAGCGCGAACTACTTGACCCTGATCGGAGCCACGGTCGTTGATGGCCCCCGTGCGTGTACTCGTAATAGCCTTGCTCTTTGTCCGTCGCCGAGCGCGCTGTCCACGTAAGTGAGGGAGTAATTGCAAAGTACCTGCTGATGAATGGCATATCGTTAGATTTATGGCTGCTCGTCATCTGCTCACTTTTTGCTGGCCTTTTTGCCCGTCAACAGATCCTTTGAGAACGATGGAAGATGGTTGCGA